ATATGCATGTACTGCAAAAATGCAATAATTAAGGGTATCTGAAACTTGTGTTCTTATTTTAACTCTGTTAAGGTCACCTGTTCTGAATTTCATTGGACAGTTTAGACCCGTTGGACTGTGATTAGACACAAATTGAAAACATGAAGGTAAAAGATATTTGTCATTTAATAGGTAAACAAGAAAACAACAATAATTACGTAAACGGTTCACAACATGATGGGAACATCAAATAGTTCATTTCATAACCATAATATTACATAAGCTACAAATGTAAAATAGGAAGACCGAAGTCAATTACATTACAACATACACTAGAAACGTAAAATAGAAACATAAACCCTAAATCTAATCCTCATCCTCCTCGGATGCCGTCTCCTCGTCATCCTCATCTGACACATCAGCCCCCTGCCCTGCAACATCCTCAATCTGCTGTCCTCGTCCAAGCTCTAGACGAGCAAGCCTATCTTCAACACCCTTGAACTGTCCCTGTATATGTCTAAATCTTTCATTTTCCTTCTGCACGTGACTCTTCCTCCATTTTTTGTGTTTCAGCGCCATTTTTCCTATTTTCTTCAGCGTGGCGTTTATGCCCTTCATGACATCACGTAATGAAAACCCACCCTCAGGCTCAGCTATCTCCTGCTGGTCACCCTCATCATCATCGTCATCATCATCCTCCACCTCGGGGTCAACCATGTCTACAACTGGAGCAACATCAGGAACCTCAATATCAGCCGCACCTGTGAACTGCCACACTCCTGTTTGGGGGTTCTTTGTCATCTTGCACTGCTCCAGTAGACGTTTTCCAAACTTATAATTATACCCTGTGGTCTTCTTCAAGGTCACATTACCCATGGGAACATCAAAATGCTCTAATATCCTCTGAACAAGACAAGCAAATGGAAGTGCACCTTTGTGTTTGGCCTTATACATCATCCAACACACGTAGTGCCTCCAGTTCACCGAAGTACCATGTCGGATAGCCCACATGATGGGAATGTCATGCTCCAACACCCTGGAATGATTGAACGCTCGCGGAAACAAAATGTGGGTGATGACATAGTGTAGTATGCGGGACTCCACAGTAAGCAACCCCACCGTATAGGCAATGTGTTGCCCACAGACTCTCCTCTGCTCCTGCACGGCATCACCGCGTGTATATCCTGGAAGTATGGTCCCGCTGTCTGCGTCATATTCCACAGTCTGCGCATAATCAAAGTCATACCCCAGTAACTCCAACCATACCGGAGCCGTCATGATGATGTCCACCCCGCAGACCCTAGACCTCAGCTCACCGTGATGGTAGCTGAGATTATGGTAGAAGGCCCGTACATGCAGCTCAGAATATGAACACGACAGTTCAGCCAAGGTCCTAAGATGTGATTCCTCCAACCACCTCACAATGTTAAAACCTTCTTGTTCAAAAAAGGCTGTATCAAGTGATTTGGCCCCACAAATCGGTCGGTTAACAAAGTCACGGACAAAAGATTCATGAACCACCGGGTCATTCTCGAACAAGTATCCGAATGGGAGGTCCACAGCAGCGGGGTCTTCCTCTTGTGGCCTTGACGAAGACGGATGGTCTTGTCGTAGCTTTTGTCGTCTCTCATTTCCAGTGCTAGACGATCTTCTACGGCCAGCCATGGGAACAACTGTACCTACAATGCAAGTGGAAACAAAAATCAATGAACAATAACAATATCAAAAAATTTAAAATTCAATATAAAAAACAAAACCTAATCCTAAAATAAAACAGAAATCAGAAACCCAATCCCTAACCCTAAAACAGAAACAGAAACCCTAACCCTCAACCCTAACCCTAACCCTAACCCTAACCCTAACCCTACACCCTAAAACAAAACACAAAAACCCATTCCTAACCCTAAACACTACAACCCAACCAAAACAGCAACGTAAACCCTAACCCTAACCCTAACCCTAACCCTAACATAACCCTAACCCTACGCCTAAGGCACCACATCAACCCTAACCCTCACCCTCACAACACACTTAGCACCCTACCCCTAACCTAAATCCACAAAACCGCAAACATAAATCAAATGCATGAAGAAAACCAAAATAAAAACTAAACTTAAAACCAAATGCAAGTCAGAATACGTTACCTAAATGTCGATTTCGCAAGTGTGAACCAAGGAAGCTTCAATCGCACCTTCAAGGGTTGAGATTCGGACTTGGTTGGAGAGAGGGGACGAAATGCAGCCTTTTAGTCGATTAGGGTTTGAAAATAACCCCCTTTGCGAAATGGGTTTTTTTTTTAAAAAACCTGATCTGCGACATTTAGTCGACTAAATAATGTGCTTAGTCGACTAAAAGTGCAAACAATTTAGTCGATTAAGATGAGTTTTTAGTCGACTAAAATTCGCGTTTCATAATTTCTGAGTTTAGCCCATTTAGTCGATTAAAAGTGCAACATAATCGACTAAATGGGGGCAGGATGGTGGATAGTTCTGGGGGAGGGGCAAATTGGTTATTAATTATTTAATTAGGGGCAAAAGGGTCAAAAACCCAGTGAAGGGGCAACGACAATGGGGAGGCAGTGACGTCAACAATAGCAGGGTTGTGGCGACGTCATGCTGACGGAGCTGTGGCGTTGATGACCTATAAATTTTACCTTAAAAGACACAATATTTTGACTTCTTTTTAAGAGCAAACATCAAAACACTTATTTATATTAAAAAAACCTTTTTTTTTGAAAAAAAAAACAGCTTTTGAATGATTCAAACGGACTTTTAATCTTTTCTGCCTTGCTTGCTTAAAAATCAGAAATTTCAGCTTAAAAAATATGAAAAAATTATTTGTATTTTTAAATGATGGTCATTTTAATTAAAATTAATATTTTTTATTTAAATTTTAAATTTTAAAAAAATTCACTCACTCCCTCCCACATGATTTTTATTGTGTATCTTTTTTTCTCATTTAAAAAAATAATTGTAAGTCATTGGACAAATACCAAACCCAAAAAAGATATGGTTTTGACTTTTTTTTCTAGTTTGTTTTATTTTTAAAAGTTGGTATCAAATATTAATTTATGAAAAAATTGTTTGTCATTTAAATAACACAACTTTGTGTCATTTTCAATTAAACTATATTTTTTTTGGTGTTTTTGCATTCTCTCTTCTCCACTCTCTTTTTGTTCTAATTTTATAAAAAAAGAAAAAATATAAAAAATACCAAAAACACATGAAAATGACATAATATCATTAAAATTGACATAAAATTATGTCTTAAAATAATAAATATTTTTTCTATTATTTTTAGCGAAAAAGATTTTTTTTAAAGAACAACATATTTTGGATTAAAAAACCTTATCCAAACGCACTCTGGAATCTCATTCACAGTGTACTCGAAGCTGTGGCACTAGTGACTAAATAAGAATAACATTAAATATTATTTTTTGTCCTCAGCAAATTTTACGATATTCCTTTTAGTCCTTAACAAATAAAAAGACTCATTGTGGTCTCTAAGAAATTCAAAATGGACCATTTACTTGAAATCGTGGTTCCTCACAAATTTAAAAAAGATTCATGTTAGTTTTTAAAAGGACTAAAAAAGGTCTATTTTAAATTTTTTAGAGATCATGATGGACCTTTTTATTTGTTAAAAGACTAAAACGGACATCGTAAAATTTGCTGAGGACTAAAAATAATATTTATTCTAAGAATAAATATTATGGTGAGTCATATCACATGAATTGGTAACCAAGTGACAACCAAGATCAGCTGGTTGTGATTCTTCCCTTGTTTTTGTTACCTAGTGTTTGTTTTCTACTAGTCAAAGGGGACAGTTCCAACCACGTGTAACCTGCATTATTAGCGGTGACGTAAGTGTGACATTGACTACCGTGCAATTTTTAGAATATAAAATGCCGGAATATTACGAGAATAAGAAATTTTATTAAAATATAACGGTATCAAATTAAAAGCTCGTTTGAATGAGCTTTTTTTTCTTCAAATTTTTAAGAAAAAAAGCACTTCTCAAAAAGAGTCTGTTTAGATGTCTGCTTTTAAAAAAAGTAGAAGTCATAAAAAAAGTCAAAAACCTACTTTTTTCGGAAGCTAAAAATTTTAGCTTTTAAGAAAAGCAGAAGTCAAAAGTCAATTTTTTTTTTCAAAAAACAAATATTTTTAAAAAAATCTAAATAGCTTTAACTTTTATAAAAAGTACTTTTAAAATAAGCAAATGATAAAAAGGATTTTTTTCAAAAGTCCATACAAACAACCTCTAACTGTTATTACTACTAGCAAATTTGGTTACGTCACCTGACGTCAAGACCATCACAATCGTTATTAGTTGTAACGAGTTAAGTTGTAATAATGATAGTTAAAATATTGATTTATCATATGATATTTTTATATTTTTATGAAATTATTAATACTCTCGGCCCTTTTATGATTATAAAAAAAAATTAATTTTTTTTACGTTATAATTTTATGTTCTATAATTTTTTATCCTTATTTTATGTTTACGTAAAATTTCAGTTTTCACTATATTGATTGTTACGAGTAAAGTCTCAACGCTTATCAGGTCACAGTGATAGATAATGATTATTATTTCTGTTATTTACTTTTCCCTCTTTTCCCAACTGCTATATATAGCAGCACATGTATCCCTTTGCAATATATCAATATACAATATTAATTCATTCAGTCTTCTTCTTCGTTTTCTGTTTTCCTCTTCACACCGTGTGTGATTTCCTCTTTAAAGCATCAAGGTCTGATACCTCACATGGTATCAGAGCCTCACCGTCCCCCGCTTTAAAAACTGGAATTAAAAAAAAAAAATAGCACAAAAAAGGTAAATCAAAAATGGGCCTGTGCAATTTCCACGTTTCTAGCCTAAAGGGCTCTTGCGTAAGAGGGCGTGTTGAGATATATAGTCTCACATTGATTAAATGGACAACTAATATGGCCTTTATAAGGCCTTGAACACTCTCACCCCTTGAGCTAGCTTTTGGGGTTGTGTATCCCAAGGTACTTTACATGCCCCCTCACGCTTCTTCATATAGCTTTACTTCGACAACAACCACCTACATCCTTGTGTATGTTGATGACATATTGGTCACTGGTGACAACTCATCTGAAATCTCCTCTCTTATATCTCAACTTAACAACATCTTTTCCCTCAAAGATCTAGGCCTCCTTCATTATTTTCTTGGATTAGAAGCTGTCTACACTTCTCCCACAACCATTCACCTTAGCCAAACTAAATACATCACGGATCTTTTAGAAAAAGCAAAAATGAATTCTGCAAAATCCATGCCCACTCCAATGCTCACAGGTCAGAAATTATATATGGAAGGTGACACTGCCTTCTCTGATCCCACTTTGTATAGATCTATTGTTGGTGGATTACAATATGCCACTATCACTAGACCAAATCTTTCATATGCTGTCAACAAAGTAAGCCAATTCATGCATAAACCTCCTCTTGAAGTTCACTTGAAAGCTGTCAAAAGAATTCTAAGGTACCTAGCTGGAACCAAAACCCATGGTCTTATCTTTCATCAGTCCAAGGACCTTCGGTTACTTGCTTTTTGTGATTCTGATTGGGGGTCCGATATAGATGATCGCAAGTCTACCAGTGGTTTCTGTGTATATCTTGGTTCAAACCTTATATCATGGTCAAGCAAAAAGCAGCATGCAGTATCACGATCCAGCACAGAAGCTGAGTTTCGCAGCTTGGCATCCACCTTAGCAAAAATCACTTGGTTACAATCACTCCTGTATGAGCTTCATATTCCATGTACTGTACTTCCAACAGTCTTCTGTGATAATGCCAGCACTGTTATGTTAGCAGAAAATCTAGTTCTTCATAATCGTACAAAACACTTCGAACTGGATCTTTACTTTGTAAGGGATCGGGTAATTCAAAAGCAAGTCTTTGTGCAACACATTCCTGGAACAGAATAAATTGCAGACCTTCTCACCAAGTCCATATCCGCTGCCACTTTTCTGTTATTTAGGAACAAACTCAGTCCCATTGCCACTGAGTTTGAGGGGGATGATAGATAATGATTATTATTTCTGTTATTCTGTTATTTACTGTTCCCTCTTTTTCCAACTGCTATATATAACAGCACATGTATCTATTTGCAATATATCAATATACAATATTAATTCATTCAGTCTTCTTCTTCGTTTTCTGTTTTCCTCTTCACACAGTGTGTGATTTCCTCTTTAAAGCATCAAGGTCTTATACCTCACACACAAGCTCATTGAGAGGAAAATATTTTCGGTATATTAGATGTATTGAATAATAGGTATACTTTTTATCAAATATAAAAAATATTTTATTATTATTTTTATATATAATTTTCATTTCGGATCAAGAATACGTACACCCTGCATTTCGAAAATATGCTCCACTGAGAGGAGGTTGTTTACTGTAGTCCCGGCCCAAAAAGTTCTTTTCCAAATATAGAATAAAAAAAGGATAGAGGGGGGAATTGGAAAAAAGAAAAAGATATAAATGAGATAAAATTTTACCTAAAATAGAAAAGGACCACAAATACAAATGTGGGCCGGGATCATAATAAAAATATCCCCACTGACAGGGGGAATGTTTCATAGAAAAGATAAGATTAGATGGATGGATGGATGGACAGGTCACAACACGAATAAGAATAAAGTGTGATTCACTGCCATTCTAACGTGATCCATTGGAAATCGAAAACAAATTAGAAAATGGAAATATTTATTTATCGTATTTTTTAAATTTATTTTGTATAATTATTATTTTGCAAATAACTATGATAAAGAGTAATTATTTTATTATAAATAATTCTATTAGTTTTTATTTAAGTCTTAATGAAATAATTTTCAAACTCAAACATAATAATCAGAATTTTATGATTTTTTATAGCTATTTAATAGATAATTTGAAAATGATAATTTTATACAATAACATTGGAAATAAAAAATATCTACCAAATAATAGTCTTAAAAATCAAGTAAAATATATTAAAAACAGAGGAAGATAAATTTAAGTAGTTTGATGCATGGAGATAAACTATACCTATATTTGAACATTAATAATACTGGTGTAATTTTGTTGTTTCCATGTGTTTTATGTGTGAAAAATCGTTAAATAATTATATTGGTAGTTTTTTTATTAATTTTTATAAGGCTCACATTTATTTGGTTTATGTTATGTATTGTGCATATTTGTGAGTAAAAGTACTCTTTAAAATAAACTTGTCTCTTAAGGTAAATATATAAAAGTATATTTGTCGTTTAATTTTAGTTGATGAATATTATGATCCACTTTAAATTAAAAGGCGTTGATTAAAGAGGAATGGGGGTCTTGTCCAGAAAAAAAAAAAAAAAAAAACTGATTACCAAATAAGGAAGAGAAATGGTTGTCCTCTTCTGCTCTTCTTTTTTCACTCTTTGCCATTCAAGTGGATTTTTTTGCGTGGAAAAGTGGTTAAGTAATTATGTTATTTGATCATAATCACTCATTGATGATAAAATAAAAGAGAAAAAAAGTATAATTTTTAAATAAGTAATTATAATTAAATAACATGACTACATAATCACTTTTTCACGTGAGAGAATCCACTCCCTTGCCTTTCTAATTAGCATTTCATTTCAATTCGTTCAATCACACTTTTTGTTGGCACAATAACCAATGTCCCAATATAAGTAATAGTAGTTGCCACACAATACGATGTCACAATATTTGCAGGAAAATTCATGATAAGAATCGGAGACGTCGATATATTCGAGGCTTCGCTCAACTATTTGGCAAACAGGCCTGCTGTGACAAAAAAGCTGATACAATTACTTCTGCTTTTTGACAGACTGTAAATTGAAAATTTATATTTCCCAAACACGAAATTAAAATCAAAGTCACCTTCGATAGGAGTGAATCATGTGAAAAAATGATTATGTGATCATATTATTTAATCATAATTATTTATTAATAATATGATAAAAAAAAGAAAAATATATAATTTTAAATAATTATTTATAATTAAATAATATGATCACACGACTATTTTTCACATAAAAAATAGTTGCTGATAGTTTACATTACATATCAGCTCTTTGCTGTCTCGGTTAGCTTTTCCTGTATCACGTGAAAATATCGAACTAAATTATTTAATAAAACACTTTGTAAACTAACCTAGTTTGGACGCATCCATTTTATTTTAATTCCATAAGAAATTAATGTAAATATTGTCTCTTATATCACTAATGATCACATTTAATGACGTAGCTCACTAACAATAAGACTGGTTGAAACTTGAAACTATGGTCCTAATAATTCAAAATACAAAATATCCTCTAATATTAAAATTTTACATGATTTGGGTATATAACATTTTTGTATTTTCTTTATTAATCATATTTGAACTCCAATTATTTAATATAAATGAAGAGATACACACACAAAAATTTTATATAATAAGGTCATATGAATTTTTAAATAAGAAAATCCACTCCTAAAAAAATGAAATTCACTTATTTTTCATTATCAAATTAAGTAGATTTGTTGACTGCGACTCTCCAAAGTTGGGTCGTGCTTATAGAACAAGTTAACCCCCACCCCACTTACTGGGGTATGATCACTCGCGTCAAAAGGATTGATCATTCATATTTGGCTTTTATAATCTACTGACAAAATAATATGCACACAATATGATTTAAAACAATGGATGACAAGATAACTAAACAAAATCCCAGACAATAGTAATTCCTTGGTGGAGGAGAAATTTTTTTTGTCCGAGAATCTCGATTTTTAAAAATATAATTTTTACATTCAGTTTACGATAATATCTAAAAATTTAAAATTTAGAAAAATTCAATTTCTTAAAAATCTTAGAAAATAACGCGTACCAAATGTCCCCTCAAGTCACTCTTTGAACCAACAGCCATTGAGTTAGTTTGTTATTATAAAATAGATAGATAAATATTGTGTACAATGTAGAAACTTATATAATGTAAAAAGAACACTGATACCAGAGTGAGGAAAATTCCAAAACCACAAGTTACCCTGTGGTTATTGAACCTTTGAGTGTCAAGGAATTTGGGCACAGCACATTTAAATTTCAAACCTTTTGGCAAATTAAAGTACATGTTTTCTTGTATTCAAAAAAAAAAAAATCCATATTTTTTTATAGGAGGTAAGATATTTTGACTATTAATTTTTTCTACTACCACTCCACTACCACTTTAATCACCATTGGATTAAAAGTTATTTTTCTTTTCTCTCTCTTCATTCAACTTTTCCTCTAATCCAATGGTGATTAAAGTGGTAGTGGAGTGATAGTAAAAAAAATTGGTAGTCAAAATATTCTAACTCTTTTTGTGCACTAAAAAAAAAAAGTACATGTTTTTCTAAAATTATATCTTATTATAATGGGCCACGTCTTTGTCGCGATGTCTATGATGTTCGTTTAATAATAACGAGTGGTTGCCAGGTAAGAGGACTTTTCAGGTCTATGGTGTTGCTTCCAGTCGAGTGGTTAAACGTGCTAAGTGTGTTACCCTTTATTCGTACATGACATCATGATCAAAACTTTGATCCTCCTTCCCCCTTATGGAAATTGGAAAAGTGTTCTGCAATGGTCATTGGTCAGTTACTCGTTCGTGTTGGATGTAATAAAAAATTCAGATCTATCTCATTAAATTTAAAAAGATTTAGTTAATACAAGATTACATTAAATTAATAAAATCAAACAACTTGTAAGTTTAGAAGTTAATTAAACCGGGCGTGAGCCAAGAAAATTGTTCAGGTTTTTTTAGTAAACCGATCCTAAATCTGAATCAAACATAACTTATTGCTGGTCGTAAGTGGGGGATTGTATTTGGAAAATTGGAGATGTTTGTACAGCACAGTATTTCAAGGTGCAGGTCCACTTGATGTGACTTGACCATGTCTGACAACTAACTGTAGGTAAGGACTCAATGAAAAATTGGTGTTATTATTGGTTCCACTACAGTAACACTAGGTTTGTGGTCCACTTTATCCACCACGTTGAGGAAAAATTCTTTGGTGATACATGTCGATCGTAAATTTAGTGTATTTTTCACTTATATTGTGACATGTATTTTATTTTTATCAAATTAATATTAAATAATTTATTTTAAAATTAAAAGAAAAAATGATTTGATATAAAGTAAGACACATATCACAAAATAAGTAAAAAATATACCGAGTTTTCGATACATGTGGTGTAGTACCAAAGATATTGTCCATATTGAGATGAAGATCAGTTCCAAGAACACCACAGCTTTGCTTTTTCATGCCTCTTGGAACTCAATTTTGGTAGGTGCCGTAACGCAATGGCTGAGCCTGATGCCCTTGCCATCATCTGGTGTTTTTGTTTTGTTTTTACCAAGTTTTAAATTTGCGATCCTTCCAAGACTATAATGACAATTTGTAAACTGAAGTGGGCTTCGATTATAAACCTATGACTTGTAAACAAGTGTATGAAAGTTTTCACGCGAAAAATAAAATAAAAAATTGTGTACCTGCGACACAAATTTTTTGTAACAACATTAAATTAATATCATAAGCTAGTCATATGATTTTATAAACAAGGGAAAGTGAAATACTTATAACTGGTTACTTTTACCCTGATGAATTAAAGATGTTACATTATATATATGGGTTTTATGAGTATAATGTTGTAGGATATAAGAAGAGTTTTCTACTCTCACAATAAAGAAGAGAGAGAAAGTGAAATGATGAAAGGAAAAAAAAACATGTGGACCCCACCTCTTAATTGTGTGTGTAGAAAAATTTTATTAGGTTATGTAACATGATACTAATAAAACCCTATATATATATAGGTAGGGGTGTTCATCAACCGATCCAAACCGATTCAAATCGCAAAAACTGAACCGAAAAACCGATAACCAAATAAACCGAAAATCGAAAAATCGGAAACCGAAAGAAAATCGCAAATTTTAATTGGATTAGATCGGTTTTCGGATGGGTTGATGAAAACCGATCCAATCCAAACCGATCCAATATATTAATTATTCTCTACCTACTTGTCCTTTCTCCAATCATAGCCCAAAAATTTCTAAACTCAAGACCCATTAACTCATCAACTAAACACAAAAAAAAACTTAGTCACGTCTCATCAACTATAGTATTGTTTACTGATATTTTTGTATTTCAATTTTTTTTTTTACAAAGCCAATATATACAAAAGATGTTATTTGCACAAGAATCATGAAACTAATTTTAAGATATTCAAAAAACGAAAACCGATCCAATCCAAACCGAAAAAAATTGGATTGGATCGGATCGGATTTGAAAAAAAAATTAAACCGAATGGATGATTACATGATCAAACCGAAGGGATTGGATCGGATGAGTTTTGCTTCCAAAACCGATCCAATCCAGACCGCAAACACCCCTATATATAGGGATAAAATACATTTACATATGTTCTTCATGATTGATTATTGATTGAAATAGTTGCATCTGACCCGAGGCTTTGGCAATTGTAGAATCATCTCCCAATCATATAGTCTATACCAAAAATGGTTGTAGCAAAAATTAAAACAAAAAGGGCCTATATAGTCAAACACGAGCTTGACGTAATGGAAACTGTTGAGATATATAGTTTCATATTGGTTGTATGTGCACTTAATGTGGAGTTTATAAGGCCTTGGGCACTCCCACCCTTTGAACTAACTTTTGGGGTGGTGTATCCTAAGGTTTTTTACATGGTATCAGAGCTTCGCCGCCCCACATTTTCTCTTGTGACGTTTCTTAGCACAGGAAGGCTGAGCCTGTAGCATTGGTTCACTCTTCAAGCCCAATGGACTCTCATGTGAGGGGGCATGTTATGATATTTAGTCCCACAATGGTTGTATGTGCAACTAATTAATGTGGAGTTTATAAGGCCTTGGACACTCTCACCCTTTGAGCTAGCTTTTGGGGTGGTGTATCCCAAGGTTCTTTACATAAACCATTAATGTCTCTATTTTTTATAAATTAATGTCTCTCCTTTTTTTAAAAATTTTCAATCGGTTCATCGCTTCGCGACTAGTCCGATTCAGGACGGGTTCAGAATTAAGGCTTTAAATTCCTCCCAAAAGTGGTACTAGGGAGAATCGAACACATGCTCCCCAGTATCACATTTGGGACGGGTCCACGATTACGGCTTTAAATTCTTCTCAAAGATAAAAACACACCAAAATACTATAGTTTCATCTAAAATAATACAAATTTACATTCTTAAAAATGAGACACACATTTCGTTATATATATAATTTTTTTTTCTTTTTTATTTACCATTTTATAAAATCAGTGAAACTTTTTTTAAAAATAAAATAAAAAATGGATGAAATACAACATAAATATAAAAAATAAAGCTTTAGGGGGCGTTTGGTATGAAAGATGTTATTTTTATAAGGAAAAAAAAGTTACAGAAAATATGGTGGAATTTTTTTTATCTTGGGCAAGTTACAAAAACATGTTTGATAGGCCAAAATTTTTACTAAAAAAGTTGAGTTATTATATTAATGCTATGTTTGATTGATTGTGAAATACATCTGAAAATGTGAAATAAAATTACAAAAGTACTTATGGTGTTTGAAAATTTGTTTGAAACCTACTTTTTATGATAGAATTGTCTCTGTCCAAAGATTTTTAAGCGTTCTTAGGCAAGATTTTTTTATTGTCAATGTCCTCTTGATAGTTTAACTTATCTTTTTAACTTATCTCATACCAAACGTGATAAATATATTTTCTACATCTTAATTTTTCAAATATTTTATCAAAATTTTCGTACCAAACACTCCCCTAGAATAATGATAGTTTACATAAGAATGATTATTTTTGTACTTTTGTTGCTCAAAATCTTGCAGAAAAGGAGCGATCGAGATATAAAAATAGATAACGACTATTAAATTTTTCTTGCAAAAGATGATAATTGAGTTTTTATAAATAATTTTTTCTATGTAAGTTACACCAGTTCAACTTTCTACTTTCTCAATGTTCTGCCACTGCACACGTACACCGCCTTCTTAACATTTTATATTTATATTCTTTAAAAATTATTATATTCACAAATTATTTGTTTTCAAACTCTTTCAATTTATATTATGTCTTATCATAAATTTGTAAAGAAACTTTTTAATCAATATAACACTCCTCATATCTTTTTTAACTAAATAATAAACATAACTTAATACACATCTATGGTATCGTTTTTCATGAAACATGTCATATATTTAAAAAAAATACTACTCTCACTTTATATGATATAAATATTTTCTCATATCGAAAATTCCATCTCCTCTTTTTTTTTTCTCTTTAACGATGGATCTCACTTGATTTCTCTGTAAGAGAACTACTATGGTGTACAACGAGTGTACTATTTTCCTATATTTAATTTTTAAGCTTTTTACCCCCATAAAAAAAATAGAAAAAACAAAAATAAAAAGTTATGTGGTTCCTAATTGCTGAGCGGCGGGGTGGTTCTTTAGCACTTGCTGAAGATGGTGAGCGGTGTCCGGCGGATGAGCCACCACTCTTGGTCGTTCCGGCAAAACCCACCGTCCATCTCCGGTTCTAACCATTCCCTTATTCTCATCCTGTCGCCAATGGGATGGTACACCGTACTCACTCCGTAGGAAATCACAGCTCTTATTCACAAGAGCTATGTCACGTTTTGATGCCAAATGGAACTTCTTCTCCTTCCCATGATACCCATCCATCAAGTGCAAATGAACCTCCAAGTTATGCGCACAACCAAGATCATTCGTCGCTTTCAAAAAAGGACTACGAGTGTGATCCAATGCAAGTTCTTTCCCAACATGAGCATAACTCCAAGGAAAAGACAACGCATCCTCTATATACTTTTGGAACTGAAACTTCTCATTTGTTATTATCCCAGGCACAGTTGGTACCTTATCATGAACATTAATCACCCTCAATACCTTAACTCCAAGCTCATCACACCGTTCCTTAAACTTCAAATTCCCAACTCTAGGACCAGCAAAAGAGTAAACAGTAACAGGAATATTAATCTTAACATCATCGTCGTCTTCAACAACGTTTAACTTCATCTCAGCTATGTCATAAGCACTTAATATAGCCAAAGCAGAACCAAGACTATGACCTGTGATCGTGATGCTTATCTCTTCCTCTTCGTAGTATTGAAGAAGACGCTTAACCTCCGAGAGGATTTGTTCACGCGCGGAGAAAGAGCAATAACTACACGAGTCTTCTTTTTTGGTGTACAAGTCGTGGAAACCTAATTCGATTTTGATGGTTGGGTCGTTTTTGAAGTTAGCTGTTTGGAGAATGTCTTTGAGGTCATAGATCCATTCGACGTATGTTACGGTTCCTCTCCATGCGATGACTATGTCACGACGACCCAAACGTTTGATCTCTTGGTCGTCGGTTGAAACTGCCACGTAACCCATCCAGTTTGCATGTGGGCTCCATATGCTGCTGAGTTTGGATTTCTGGAAGAAGTTAGGGAGGTTGATGTTTGAGGTTGCGTAAAGGTAACGTGTGATGGTGTAGCCTTTCTCTGCCATGTCAAGCTTGTTGAAGAAATGTGATGGGTGGTATTTGCATGTTCCGCAGTACTTTGAGTGTGGATCGTAGTCGAAGGAATCGTAACATGCTTGAGCGAATTCACCGTAGCGAATGATTTCTCTTCGTAGATGAGGGTTTATTGGATCTAATAGATTTTCCCAGTCGTTGCAGCCTTGGATTTCCTTCCATACTTCACTCAAGGGTGGTGGCTCTTGTGATTCTTCGAGGAAAAGGGTTTGTTCGAATTCGTCCACGTCGGTGGTTATGCTTGAGATTGAAGAGGAAGAGCATTTGATCATGTGTGTGTTGAGGATGATGAGTGAAGGTTTGTTTGTTAGGGAGAGGATTGTGGATTTTTTGTTGAAGGTGGATCTTTGAAGGAGAGCATGGGAAATATATGGGATGGTTTGATGGTCGAGGTTGAGATGAAGAAAAGGAAGAACAGAAGCCATGTCAAATGAGGAAAATCAATCTCTATTTTGTGGGAAACACTGGCAAACAAGGTTAAAAATAAGGGAGAAGAAGACCAGAATATGGAGAGGAAGGAATGATTAAATGGAGTAGTGGAAAGAGAGTGATGGAGTGAGAGTTACATATGGTGTTGCATTTCTCTATTCCCAAAAGTAGTGTTATATAGCAGTAGGACGATTATTAAAATTTCACATGACATATAATTTTTTTTTTATCTGTTCCTCTAAATAAATAAATGGAGTCTAATTATCGATAATAAAAAGAGAGAGAAATATATGATCACATCGTCTGAAGAGGATTCATTCATATATCATATATGCTTCAACACAAACCCCACTACACCGTTTGGTTTCTTCCGAGTAAGATTACGCCACCCTATCTACTTTATTAAAAGTATACAAATGAAACTTTTGTACATGATGGTGTGTGACAAAATTTAGAACAATCACCGTTTTCTCACCGTTGACAAAAAAAATTATCAGACTGTCATGTTAACAGTAAATTTTGTCAAAATATCACGTCGCATATTTCGCTACACTGTGTAGCGAAATATGTGTGCAAATAATTCGCTACACAGAGTAGCAAAATTTTCTCTGTTTGACACGTGGCATTTTTTATTCTGTGCATTCTGACGTGGCATATTTCGCTCCACTGTGTAGCGAATTACTGCACACATATTTCGCTACACAGTATAGCGAAATATGCCACGTGGCATTTTGGCAAAATTTGTGTTGACGTGGCAGTCTGTTAATTTTTTTTGCCAACAGTAGCCCTTTGGTTACTGTTCCGACATATTTTCTTGCATATTATTATTACCAATCATTATTATTAAAGTAATTTAGCTTATTATTATTTTTACATATTAAAAAATTTAATACTTCTCATTTATAAAAGATAAAATTAATTTATATATATATATATATATATATATATATATATATATATATATAAGTATATGAGATCCATGTGAAGATAAAATAAAGAGTAAATAATGCCCTTTTGGGTCCTTAACAAAAAACACGATCCCCACTTTAGTCCCTTACAATAAAAATTAGTCAGTTGGTCCCTAACAAATTCAAAGTGGACCCATTTTAGTCCTTTTGAGGGACTAATATGGGTCTTTTTTGAAATTATGAAGGACCACGATTTCAACTAAATGGGTCCACTTTAAATTTGTTAGGGACCAAATGACTAATATTTTTTGTAAGGGACTAAAGTGAGCACCGTTTTTTTTGTTAGGGATCAAAAAAGGGTATTTACAATAAAATAAATATGAATCTCACACACTTTTATGTATATAAAAGAGATAATTTTATTTTTTATAACATCAGAGATATTAAATCCCATATTAAATTACAGTATATATATATGTGTGTGTGTGTGTTTGTGTGTTAAGAACTTTGAGGTCACCACCCCAAAAGCTAGCTCAAAAGGTGAGAGTGTCCAAGGCCTTATAAACATCACGTTAGTTGTCGTACAACCAATGTGGAACTATATTTCTCAACAATATATATATAGTAGTGCTCCCAAGAAATATTATTTATGTCTGTACATTTAGTGATGGAAGTTCGGGACAATGTCCCCGAATTTTTGTTTTAAAGAAAATTTTAAATGTATTCAAAGACAAAAGAATATAAACAAAAAAAAACTTGAACTTACTACAAAAATAAAGTACCTTTTGGGTCATCAACTAAATTTACAGGACCCAATTTAATACCTTAGAAAAAAAATTGACTCGTGATCTCTCTGAATTTCAAAATAGACCCATGTTAGTCTTTTTAGGGCTTAATGTAGGTCTTCTTTAATTGCAGAGGGACCACAATTCTGACTAACCAAATTTATTTTGAAATTCAGAAGGATCGAGAGTCAACTTTTATTTTCCTAAGAGTTTGAATTAAGTTATGTAATTTTTGTTGAGGACTCAAAATATATTTTATTTTATTTTTCAAAATTTTATGTGTGCATTTGCACACACTTACAACAATACAAGTCCGTCAATGTGTGTGTATATATATATATATATAAATTTAATTCATTTTAAAAATATATATAGTGTAACAATTTATATTTTTAGTTTATTTTGAAAATATTATTTTATAAAAATTTAATTCATTTAAAAAATTATGTGAATTTGTTAAATTTTTCAATTATACATTTATATATAATATGATATCAATTAATTACATATTTCGTAATTATTACACTATAGAAATTAAAATGCACTGTCGTTCTATCAAAAAAATTTGGACTTTATAATTAGAGAGTGCTTTTCTGTATATAATTTGCATAAAACAAATTAAATTTTTTAAATTGTTTTCACTTATGAAAACAGAATTGTGGATTTGTGGTAATAATATTGGAATTCGAAAATACATATAATATATTGAAAACATTTTTTAATTTTTATTTGAATATAATTTTATTAAAGTGATCATATATGACCATTCAGATGATAGATTATGTAACGCTCCATTATAAATATGGCGTATTACGCTCATATGACATTGACAATTGGGTCAAAATTTCTATCATAAAGTCCACCATAATTAAAGTAGAGATTCAATTGGGATATTGCAGCACATCAAAAGGAAAAGTACTAAAAATGAGTTGGTTCAAGGCTGTCCCAACACTTCAAACAACATTTAAATCATTATTGCAACATTTTTCAAATACAAATAGCTAGAGGGAAGGATATTCTTTTTTTTTTACTACCATAATTTTTTTTTGATTAAGTTTTGTTTGAATATAATTTTATTTAAATGATCTTATATGACCATCCTATGATAAATTACTGTCTCATTTATAAAAAATATATTTTTAATTTAAATAAATTAAACAGAGAATAATGGACAAAAAAAAGTGAGAAATAATTTGTTTTCTCTTTCATTTTTTATTCGCTTAGTGTTAATAGTACCATTCTTTATTTTAAGTAGTAATAGTAATTTAAGAAATTAAAATGATAAATTATGGCAAAAGCATAGTTCAGCGCTTTATACCAAAATCGAAGCTTCTCGTTCCGCCGCCTCAGTACTTCTTATATTATATGCTTTTCGGTGGATATATTTTATATTAGTGTAATTAAAATCTTAAATTTTAATAGTAAAGATAAAAATAATAATTCAACTTTTAATTTTATTTTATTTTATTTTCTAAATTATAATTCCTTATTTTATTATATTTTTGAAAATATATATAACAAATTCAATTTTTTAAATAATCATGCATAATGATTTTGTAATGTAAATAATTTTTTAAAAATAAAAATTTATTTGATATTATGATATATATATATATATATATCAGAAAAATATTTTGCATTTACTGCAAAACGACGTCGTTTTGAGATTGAAATATAAAAAAATTATATTTATAAAGATTATACTGAAATAAATTAAAATTAAAAAAATATTATGATTTCCCCACAAAAACGATATCGTATTGGGCGTACTGTTGATAACTTAGCTGCAGTAATTGCAGAAAAATGAACCCTATATATATAGGGTTTGTTGTTTGTCATTTTAAATGACATAAGTTATGTTATTTTAGGAGAGTGATAAACACAAGGAATATAAATCATGGAGGAGAAAGTGAGTGATTTTTATTTTAATTTAAATTTTAAATAAAAAAATTATTTGATGTTTATCTCTCTCTTAAAATGACATAATTTTATGACATTTAAAATAACAAACGCTTTTTCAATATATATATATATATAATTATTTAATGGAGAGGGATCAACTTACAATAAGAATAACAAAATTTATACCCATTATTAATCTTGAATCGGTTCAAATTTATTGAGAATAATAATTTACATGAATCATTAAATGCAATTTGAATTAATAATAAATAATGAAGTTAAAGCTCTTATTCTTATATTAGTTTAAGAGAAAAGTGTGTGTCATTTTAAATGATGTAAAGTTGTCATTTTACGAGAGAGAAAATGATAGATAAAGGAAGAGAGAGTTGACAAAAAAAATAAAAGTGTGGGTCCCACCTCTTTATGAGAGTGAAATGATATAAATTGTGTCATTTAAAAGGATAAACATTTTTTCCTTAGTTTAAAATGCATCCCTTCTCATAGTTAATTAATTCAAATAATTTTGCTCTCTTCACCATGTACTGTCACATGTCTGAATCCACCTAACAACTTATGGGGGCATTTGATAGATGGTTTCTGGTGGGATGGATGGGTAAGTGAGAGCGGGATACCATTAGGTGGTGTTTGGTTCACTGCTTTTCAAAAGTTTCCTATGCAAATGAATGTGGCTTTCCGGAAAGCTAATGTTTGGTTCAACGGTTTAACACAAAAATCCAATCCATGCAATTTCTCTTGCTTTTTCAACTTTGTCTCGAATGATTGGTTTTCGCACTGTTTAGAAAGATTATTTGTAGGTGGTTTTTTGTGAAAACCCAGCTAAACCACTGTTCACAAATTTTTTTCACACCCATTGTACCCTTGAAAAGGCAAGAGACATCCTTGTGTTGTCAGCAGCGAGCGTTGAGTTGGCTTGTCTTCCTTGCGTGGGTTTGGGGCATTTAGCAGCCAAGGAAGTGGTGGTTTTTCTGCTTTTAGTGCAGTTGGAGGTAGTAAACCACCTGAGCTGTTCACACAGATGAGAAAGTTATAGTCCATCTTACATTGAAAACTTCTTCGGTGAAAATGATTTGAAAGCTGAAGTTTACTTTCAATTGTGGTGCACGGTGCTCCATAAAGAAATTAGTCTATGCCGCGCGAGCACAATATCTTGTAGAAAAGAAAACGGTACAATTTTAAAATGTAGACTTAGCACACAGGTCCCCCAAATGGCATACGGTCTCCACTTGTATGTTTAATAGGAAGTGTATTGGGGATAAATTTGTAATTTTATATCATTTACTCATCTATATTTTTTGCCATACCAAACATAGCTTTACAAATTTTTGAAAAATTTTTCTGGTAAAATTTTGTCCAACCAAACAACTTTTTTTTAACTTCCCCATATAATTCACTTTCTCAGTGGATCTCCAGTAATTACATTTCCCTAGTGAACTAAAATATACCCGTGAACCAAACACCACCTTAATATCATGTTCGGTAGAGGATTAAGAAAAATA